TGATCGAACCTTACAGCCAGTTGAGTACACCAAACGTGTCAGCATTCAGAATACACCTAGAGAGAGAGAGATCTATATATAATAGTTCCCATTTCACGCTAGTAGTAACAGGTGCCTTACTAGTAGTAACAAGAAGCTACTAGGAACAAGTGCCACGCTACTAGTAACAGGTGCCTTACTAGTAGTAACAAGAAGCTGGTGTTGACTCACGGGAACGCACCAGCAGGGCCCCAAGTCTCCACCTGTCCAGTCCTGCCCTTTGACACATGAAGGCTCCTTTTGCAGCTGAAGGGCTCCATGATAGTTTCAAGCCTATGCGCCACCGCCAACATCGTTGAGGTTGGGAAGGCATTGTTGATCGTGTCTTGCACTGACTCCTCACAGAAGCACTGACTCGTGACCCATGGGGCCATTGCCCACGTTCGAAGCGGTGGAATGCGCTCCTGGGTGGCAGGATCAATGGCTGAAGTAGCCTCATCCAGCAAGAGCAGCGCCGGCTGCCTGGAACGAGTTTGGCGGACTTGGCTTATCACAAATCGATAAGGCTCCCTATTTAAAGGAGGCCCGGCCCTTCTTTTCATCCCTGTTTTCTTCTCTTTTTTCTTTTCCAGTTTCGTGACGTCCTTTAACGTCCCTCGCCGCAAGCCGCCATGCCTCAAGACCATCCGTGCCAGGCACAAGAGCTGCCGTTGTCCAAAGCTCAGGTTTCCACCTGACGAGGATGAGGCATGTCAGGCAAACTGAAACTAGTAGATCAATTAGTTGTTGTTCTGAGTATTTGTCAGTGTGTTCTTTAGTCCTTCTGTCCTCTTTCTATTGCTCGACTGTTAAGAAATACTTCCTATACGAAGCGCCACCCTAATTTCAAGCACTGGACAACTCTATGCCTTCATCGGACACTTGGTGATCCAAACCTCAGGTGGGTAGGAAGAAAGTGCCAACAGCATGAAGAAAAGGTACAAGAACAGTGTCACAGTGAGTCACACTTCCGTGTGTCCAGGAAGACCCAGCGTCACCCCTTCCCAAAACTAGACCGGAGCGACCCTGTGGCCCGAAAGTAAGCAAGAACACAATATAAGTAATACCAAAATGGATCAATAAATACATATGATGTTATATGAACCCAACATGATATGATACGATATCATCATCAAAAAAACAAAACTGCACCGACGTGTGTGCGTGTGTGCCCCATGGGCTTACTGACTGACTTTGGCGGGGGGCAACGGCCAGTTTTCCCACGTTGCCCAACAAAGCTACGAAAGATTGGTGGACGCCTCAATGTGTACCCGCACTTTGGATGCCAAAGCTTATTTGATCATGGTCCCTGGTTTAACCCTACTAGTAACAAGGGCATCGCTACTAGTAACAGGGACATCGCTACTAGTAGCTTCTTGCTACTAGTAGCGATGCACTTTAGACTCAACTTCCTCCAGCCTTTGCTTCGGTTCTTCACTGCACACATGCATGTGCCGTCCTCGTCCACTGTCTTCGAAATTGTTGGATCTGTTGAACCTTTGATTGATTAGACCGTCTTATGGACTACCTAGTTTATTATATAAGGCGTGTCTTCACCTAGGCTGCGGTGTGGCATGTGGCATTCAGACTGTACGTGCTAATTTCCGAGTTTGTGGTTGCTTCCTGTGCTTCTTGTTCCAAGCCAGATCCAGTGCCACTTGCCTGAACAATCGCCAACTTGGGCTTACAACAACCGGTTGCATATATACTTACAACCTTGGCTTCAAGTCTGCGAACCTTTGCCGAGGTTAGCTCCAAATTGCCTTTGACTTGACTAAAGTTGTATGAAAGTGATTGTGTAGGTGCTTATATAGTTGTGAAGTCGATGTTACAGTAAGTCAGCTCACACTAACTTGGACTTGTTTTGACCGAGGTTTCACTGTCACTTGTAGTACGTAAGTGGAAGCTAAGTCCAAACTAAGCCCAAGCTATATAAGTCTACAGTAAGATGTTTAAGTTGAATTGACATGTGACAATCTCAGCAGGTACACATCAATGTCCCTTCCAAGCTTTCAAGAAGATTCTTAGACTTGCATCAAGGAACGACTCACAATTCTGTCTGAATTTGAACAGGGTTTTAGCTTTATTGGGAAAGGACACATTGCAGTGTCAATTCGTTTCGACTATACCGTCCATACTGCACGCTGCGCGGCCGAGGGGAAGTGAATTCACGAAGCTCTCGAGGTGGCAGCAGTTGACCGCTCTCCTTGGTGTGACAGGGTGTGAACAAAAAGTGTGTGTTTAAAAAATGACGTCATGCAAATGTTTTCCGGTGTCAGTAGCTAGAAGCTGCTAGGGGGAGGCCATCGCTATTAGGTTGGAGGCCATTGCTACTAGGAACAAGAAGCTACTAGTAACAAGACCTGTTTTCCCACAATAATGTCATAATGCCTCAATTTTGTTGAAGCCGCTTGATCCGGCCATCAGTGTATACTTTGAACGGGTCCAGGTTGTGGCGCAGAGTGCCAGTGAAAAGCATTGGCTCCTGATTTCCACAAAGAACAATTATATACAGTACTGTAAGCTACCAAAAGCCAAACGAAAGCGCACCTGTGGTACCAAGCCCAGTGCAGTTCGTAGCGTCGCCTCGGCTGCTGGACCAGCGTTGAACGTCGAAAACTGTCATGAGTCATGATATTGGAATGCAAAGACATCAGGACGCTCCAGTGCCCAAGGCCCTGGCAAGACCAATGACTTTGGTGTCAATGCCTGATGGGGGCTGCAAGAAAAAGGGAGCTCAAGCAGGAGAGGATTCTGCATAGCAACACAGAACGCCCGATCGCCGAGAGAGCTGGACATATGCAAACAACAAACGGCTGCTTTGCACCCCAGGTGTCGGCATGTTTTTTCCGCGCTGAATTGACCCATTGAAAATTGAGTGCCAAAGGAATTTAGATTCACCTGGCCTGCCCACCTGGAAATCAAGCAATATTACTTTCAGGAGCGCTTCTCAGTCCAGGCTGCCGTTGATGATAATGCGGCCACCACGGGGTTCTATGATGCGGAGCAGGGCCAGCCTGGCAAAGCAACAGTTGCCAACGCCAACCAAAGACCCATAGTTAGTCTGTTGGTCTTTGAAACAAATGCTCTCTCAGGTGTTTAAATCGAAAGTCTTGACGAGGTCTGACACTCCTATACCCAAAGAAAATCAAGGATGATGTCAGTAATTGCTTGGCGGAAGGTTCCTTCCAACATGATCCACTCCGTCCCGCAGTCTAGCAGGCACAGTACTAGTTGCAGCAAGCTTAGCAACTTCACGAACAAACACAAATGCGCACGAATTAGGAAACAACGTTTGATAAGATGCTTCAGTCGAATTTTTTGTATACCCGATCTAAAGCACAACATCGTTGAAAGCCAGAAAGTGAAGAAGCAAAGTCCGGATCAGCTAGCCCCTCACCAGTTGGCAAACCACAATCAATGTCCAAGCAAGACTTGCACGCATGAAAGAGTGTGCTTGCCACAATGCTACAATTGAGGCCACTATATAGAGAAAAGCCAGGGCACAGCATGCTGGATTTTCCACAGCCAGTGGTGCCTCAGCACTTTTGAATTTGAAGCTATTATAAAGCAGCAGGTCTTCTTTGGGATGACTGGCCATTGCTGGACTTGAAGAACGGAAGATTGCAAGAGATTTCCGCTGCTCATAGGTTGCCTCTCAAAGAATCTCCGCTAAATGCATCCTAGACTCCAACAACGGCTACTTTCATCCGTGGCTCCACACTGAAGGTCACACCTTTCAGTACATCCTGGTCAAGATAGGAGCAAGTCGGCTTGGAACAACTCTTTCCAGATGCAAGATATCAAAAGCAGCTGCGTCTTCAGAGCCAACAATGCCCCTCCGGCCCGAATTCAACTTGCGTTTGCGTTTGCACTTCCCTGACACAGAAAAGCACGGACAGGCTACTATCAGGTTGGAGGCCATCGCTACTAGCTTGGAGGCCATTGCTACTAGGTTGGAGGCCATCGCTATTAGGTTACTCAGCAAGCTCCTGGGGGACTTCGGCGTAGCCAGCCCGCAAATCTTGCAAGTCAAGACGGGCTCCATTCGCCAGCCAGTTGCTCTGAAACTCCAAGACCACCTGTCAACACCAACAGCTGCAGCGGCCAGCTCATACTTGCACTGAACTTGGCATCCACTGACCCCAGCTCTGCTTCCACCAGCTGGATTGAGATTTTGTCGCGCAAATGTTGAACCTCCTATGCTTGAAAAATGCAAGTATACAGTATACAGGCGTATACAGCTAAGTAAGGTTGTGGGACGAGCTTCAGGCTCATTGCTTTATCCGCAATTTGGCACCGCAAAGTGAAGTGACGGCTTATGGCTTGTTTCACAAGCTCTCGTGCGTTCTCTCAGCCCTCCCTGCCTGGGGAGGGGCTGCAAAAGCACTAGCCTTGGTCGGACTGAGGATGGCTGAGCACCAATTTTGGCTCGAGCAACTTTCTCTTGGTATATGATCTAATTCATAATGGCTTCAATCTGCAACGTAATGCAGGTTTGACCGGGCGGCTGTCAGAAAGCTCCGCACGCTTTTGCAAAGCTCTTCCGCGATGGCCTTCCTGGGTGCTATTGACAATAGTTGTTGATGTTTTCATAACGCATACGATGGCGCATACCTTTAAAGTTTAAAGTTTAGAGTTTAGAGAAACGAAAAGGTAAAAACAGGGTGCAAATCGCGGCTGCCTTGTACTTCCTGGCAATATGCGGAATGGGGAAACGGTGGGGGTGAGTTCTGCCAAACGAATGCTGCCGAGTTGCGCACTGCCAGTAGCATCGTTAGCTGCCACAAGGTGGTGCAGGCTAGGCACTTGGCTCAAGTCAGAGCACGATGGGCAAAGCTCCTGATCAAGGCAAAGTCTAACTCATGCAACATCGGGATTTGGCCTGGCGAGTGGCCACATCCAACGGCACCCATGCGCAGCGTGTGCAAGAGCCCTCTTTTGGCCCCTGTGCCGATGCAGTCGATGGATCAACAATGGCTTTAAAAGCCAAGGTCGCACTCCCCGTCCATAGTCTGCACCAAAGCTTTTTCTGCAGCGTGGCAAGCTGCAAGGAGTTCGCTGTCCGAGATGTCATCCTCACCAAAACCAAAAGTTCCGGTGCCCTCCAACCCCTCAAGTAGATCCCCAGCAGCTTCCCATGCTGCTACCAAGGGTGGATCTTGTGTCTTCGACACGTCCAACTCTTCTTGAGATGCCAAGGGTGGAGCTCCCTCGTGGGTAGACTGCTGCATGACAACATCAGCTGAGTCAACTCTGGGCATGTGGCCGTCTTGCACAGCCAAAGAGCCTTCAAGTAGATCTCCAGCAGCATCCCAAACCGCCAACAAGGGCGGCTCTGCTTGTTCTTGCTTCTGTGCCATTGGAGCCTCCAGCACAGGTTCCTGACAGGCCGGAGTGCCAAATCCCGGATGGCATGCAGAAGTTCCAGTGCCACATGCAAACACCTCTTGCTCGGCTGGTTGCATGACCACATCTGGAATTGGACCAGTGGGGTCCACTGTGGGGTCCCCAGGTTTGTCCGAGCTCCCATTCTTCAGGTTGCGCAAAGACGAACGGCATGGATTGAAAAGGCGCTTCAAGTCATCTACAGTCAGCTTGGCCGCTGTTTCACTGTGCCCCCCACCGCTAAGAGCATCTTCCAGCAATCGTTCTTTGGCTCGGTGTAGCTCCAACAAGTCAATGTCGATGCTGTCCTCCACAACAAATCTGAAGATGTGAACTTCTTGCTTCTGCCCAATTCGGTGTACCCGCTGAATCGCCTGTTCCTCAACTGCAGGGTTCCACCAAAGATCCATCAAATACAGCCTTGAAGCTGCCACTAAGTTCAACCCAGAACCACCTGCCTTCAGAGACACCAGGAGCACTCTTGCCCCCGAATGACCTGGAGCCTCTTCGGCCAGCCACTTCACGCACTCATCACGCTGCTCCAACTTTAGGGATCCATCAAATCTTTTGTGGCTGATACCCTCAGCGTCTAGGGCCCCAGAAATCAAATCCATGAAAGATGTAAACTGGGTGTACACAACTGCACGCCGACCTTCAGCCATGTCTGCACGTAAGAGGGTCAGAAGCTCTTTCATCTTGGTACTATGATGTGCTCCAGTTCCTTTGTTTTCGGCAGAAGCCTTGGCCATGAGATGCGCAGGAAACCGAGAGGCGCCTGGCAGGACCTTCAAGCTCTTTTTGGTTATGCCTCCGGTCCTGCAAACAGGACACTCCCCGGAACACTGATGAATGATCTTGTAGCAGCACTCCCGACAGAAAATATGACCACAGGGGGTCAAAGTGGGATCCTGAGGTTCATCGCAACAAATTGCACAATCACTCAGCTGCCCACTCTTGATTTCCTCCAAGAGCTTATTGGCAAAGGTCTCCGAAACTTGGTCCCCACTAGCACCCAACAAGTAATTCTTTTCAAGAGTGTCCAAATCTTCATCTTTCGTGCGCTCACGGGCGAAAACCATGAAAGGATGGCACAAGGCTTGTCGGAGCTTTAGGATCAGCTGCAAAATATGGGTGTATTTTGACAGGACCTCACCAGCTGCCACGAAAGTGTCAAACTGAGTCTTGGCCTTGGTCCAGAGTGTCTCATAAAAGTCGCGCTCGGCCAACGACAGCTGCAAGCGATGCACATGGACATGCTTAGCGGGTAATCGTAGTAAAGGTTCGCCTGTAGAAGGATCCACCGTGCTTTTCGTTCTCCGCAATATCAGTGGAGTAACAATTCTGCGTGCGGTGTCCAATGCCAAGGTCATTGCCGCTGAATCTCCTTGGCGGCCCTTGTCAAGAGGAACAGATACGGATTGACGCCAACAAGGCCAGGCACACCAAGGCTCAACGCGTAGGAAGCGGATGGCAGAGAACAGCTCTTCCACACTGTTTTGAAGAGGCGTACCAGTGACCTCAAGAGGTGGCCAGGTAGGGTGTTTGAGTCGCCCCAACGTGCGGAGCGTTAAAATTTGAGAGCTAATGCTACACTACCAATACCAGCCTGCCTTTTCAACCTTGGAACCAAACAGAAAAGCAGACCCAAACTGAATTCCTGGTGAGCCCGTCATTTCAGGATTGCGGGCTGAAGCCTTGTGTTATTCTACTACATAATCTTACTCACACCTGCAGTCCTTAAAGAGCAGCGGTGGAAAAACTTCTGAAGTAAATGATGAGTAGCACACCATCTGCAAAAGCCTCGCAGCTGAAAGGCGGCTTGGGCTTGCCTGCTGCAGCGGTTCTTGATAGAGTGAGCCTCATCAAGAACAATTCTTCGCCAGTAGAGCTGGAAAAGCGGCGAGTCACCTCCTTGAGATGCCTCAGGAGGGGGACGAAAGCGGAAACGGAGCATTGTTTGAAGTAGACACGAACTTGGGCAGCCACAAGCAAGCAAGAACAAATCGGAGCATAAGTCCGGACACTTGTCGATGTTTTTTGTGGCCCGCTCTGCCCTCCTACTACTTAATTAAGTAGGCGCCTACTTATATAATTAAGTAAGGGCGACTAGTTCGCTCCTAGCTAGGAGGCAGGATAGCTCACGCTTCTTCAAGGAAACTCCCCGCCGCCCCGCCTGAGGGTAGGGAGCTTCCTTGAAGAAGCGCTCGCACGAAAATGATCTGTTTCATTTTGGTTCCTAGATCTATTATATTATATAACTTGTAGTGATCATGAGTATCGATTCGATTCAATTCGATCTCTTGAAACTATCACAAGTCTATATATATATAACCCCCGTAAATGAGAGCTCAGCAATCCTCTTATAAAGGAGTTTGAAAAATGTTTGAAAATTGTCTGCTGGCCAAGTGAGATACCAGTGTGTTGTACGTGGTGAGGACGATCCCATAATCTCGCAGCTGTTCCAAGGGGACCTTGCAACCTGAGGCATGGAACTCGTGCATTGTGGGGCAAGCTGAGGAAAGAAAATGCTTCTGGGCCTCTGATTGCCACTGCCTGATCAAAGACAAAGGAGCCACAACGAGCACACCAGCGACGCGATCAGCACCATCAGCACCATGGTCTAGGACAGGGTAACGCTGCTTTGAGGGAACCTCAGCCTCTTCCAGCGCTCGAAGCTCTGGCGCAGCAGTCCGAGCTGTAGGGAGCTCACCAAAGTCCAAAGCCATCAATGCCAGGCACATCACAGTCTTTCCAAGGCCCATATCATCCGCCAGAATTCCTCCTCGACAATAAGCCAAAGCAGCATCAGGGAAGTCAAGAGACAAAGCTCCACTGGTTCGATGGTAGTATAGGAATCGTGGTGGTTCCCTGACACCTGGAAGCGGCGCCGTTGAACTGTCCGGGAGCTCGTACTCGTCCCACATTGGATGGAGCTGCCTCTCCTGCCCTGCCTCAGCTGAGGTAGCGATGCGAAATGTTCGCTGCGCATCATCTGACTTGTCCAAGCTTCCATTTTTGAAGGCATCTGGCAAAGAGGATGTTGGATTCTCCCTCTGCCACATCCAGTATACTGCCTTTGCTTGGTAGGGCCGGAGTGTCGTTTCAAAGATGTTGTCGGGCAACAAAATGCCTGGCAGCTCATGCCTCTCGAGTTGATCGGAACGTCCTAACTGGGCTGCAGCTGCAGTGGACATTTGGTCCTCACCTTCCTCCTCCGCCTGTACCACTCCAGCCTCCCCAGTTTGTGCCACAGTGCCGACTGCTGTCCCGCTACCAGTCCCTTCATGAACATCCTCCAGCAAGGCTTTACGCGGGCAAGGGAGCTTCAGTTTTTCTAGAAGCATGCTGGTGGCTGTGCGCTGGATTTCTCTGTCAGCTTCTGCTTTCTGCACGGCTTTTTGGCCCTTGGCCGTGCTTTTCCCTGCCTCTGGAACACTCTTCCCAAGGTCAGCCATTTGGCCAGGTGTCCGCAGGGCGGAGGACCGCAAAGAGATGTGGACCAAGATAGGAATGTTGGTTCCTAAGTCAAGGGCTCGAGGAGGGTCTTTACCCACCACAGCTTCAGCGTCAACAAGCTTCCTGACAAGCAAAGGCACCAAAGCCTTTGATGTCCAGCTTGGGAATTTGCCTACAGTCTTGCCACAAACCTCGAAATGGACCTGACCTGTCTCTTTTCCCAGCCCTGTCCCTGGCCTCCCCTTCTTGGTCTCAACATGCCACTTGAGTTCCAAACGAGCACCACTGCGCAGGAGTGGCCCAAAGGTGCCATCTTGAGCTTGGAAGGATGCACCTCCATCCAAACGCATAGTGCTGTACCCTACCACCTCCAGGGAACCCAAAGCCATGGCCCACTCGACATGGGGCTCCCTGGGTTTGTTCTCTTTGGGTTCACTCCTTGCTTTGGGAGCTTTGGGGCCCTTTGGTGCTTCCACACCCTTGGATCCTGTACGAGGTTTCTTCTTGGGCCGCTCAGGCTCTTCTTGCTTCACCTTCATGAGTTTCAAAAAGCTGCTTTGGCTAGTGCTTGCAAGACTGGCAGTTTGTCTTTCGGGCTTCTCTGTGTCAGGCACCGGTGCGTCTTTCACAGGCTCCGCTCTGTCTGTCTCTTCTCCATCGGTGTCATCCAGCGTAATGGTTGAGACCCCTGCCTTCGGCACCATGGGCGGGGGAGCATCGAGGATCAGATTCACTGCGGCAGCCAGGTCCCCTCTTGATCGCTTCCACGCAGAGGAAAGGACATCATCTGACGGACCTTGTCCGACCACCTCTCGAAGGAATTTCAACTGCGCGGGTGGAGTGTCCATGGAACATGCGCCCATACGGTCGGATGATGACGTCTGAAAACTAAAAATAAGTGCAGGTTGAAGAACGACGGGATCAGCGGTATCTATTCCATGTCTGCCACGGTATCTGCTATCATGCAGCTTGTACAAGTTTGGAAGGCATTGAGGGGCGTTGTGCGTAAAGGATTATATAACTAATTGTCGCATATGTGCCTTTCATCATGCTGTTGCTTGAGCACGGCTTGTCCACACACGAGCTTGAAACACAAAGCATTGCCCCGCTTCCATTGGACAATTAGATCTAACAACAATGGGACCCTACAGGTCACGCACCACCTGATGCAACAGTCCTGCAGAGTACACTCGCTGCCCTCAGCGAGCATCAAGGCCCTCAAATCTGGCGTGGACCGCAGGAAAGGCCGGCCATTCCTGAAGCTCCCAGCATGAATTGCCTTTTGAAGGGCCATGCATGTTTTATATTTTTCAGGTTTGCTGACAGGGTTCACGAAGACTTGGATGTCCTCCCCCACCGCCTGACTTCAAAGACTCCCACACATCACCAAGAAAATACGAGTCTATGTGCATGGTTTTCACCAAGCAGCCTTCATGGTCAGAGTAGCTTGGTTTTTTCTCAAATAGCGCACAGAATAACTTCGAAGGTTGGAGTCCTCCACCAGATGAAGTGAATTGTCACGCTGATATTGCACATGCATGTTCGTCCAACCACACCAAAAAATGAATTGACAAATTCAAGTTCCTCCGGCCGACGCATGGGTTTCTCTTGCTCCACCTGCCCGACAACAAGGGATGAAGAGCTGATGCTGTCGCGAGCACGTACACGGCCACAACTGAAATCCGCCGACCCCGGCTTAGCCTGCCCTAAGCCGGGCGGCGCCCAGGGCACCGCAAGGTGGAACCCACCTTTGTCCAGCCAATCTCACTCTGGAAAGTTTTTTGCTCGGGCTTGCGCGGTTTTACTCGCTTGCGGTCGCTCTCTTCACTTTTGCGCGCAGGACTACAGAGGCTGCGGCTAAGGCAGTGGCGGAGGACGCCTTCCACGCCTCTGGCCATGGGCTTGTAGGCCCTTTTTTTTCTACTGTTGCCGCCTGGCGCCCTTGCCGGCCACATTTACGCGCAGACCAACATGGGCTAAGCACGTGGCGAAGCACGCCTTCCACCCTTCTGGCTTTCGAAGCCGTCGGGATCCTCTCCCGCCGCATTTGCGCAGAACAACATGGGCTAAGGGCGTGAACACTTGCTCCTTGGAACCCTTTCTCTTTCTCGAGTGTGTGTGTGTGTGTGTCAAACCCTGTCCCGAAGGGCTGTTCACCACCAAATCGCTTTTGAAAGCAGGGGGCTCACGGGCCTGTTCCTGGCGTGAGCCAACGAAGCTCCAAGTTCAGACTAGGATATCGAAAGAGGACGCTCTTTCGACGTACCTGCAACCTGAACTTTTGACCACGCTGTCTAATTTGCTTTGTTTGATTCCATGGTTCTTCATGCTACCAACCCCAAAACCTTGGTTTCAGCAGCTGCGCCGCGCCGCTCGTTTTCGCCACCGCTGAGTTCTGCAGACATGAGAAACACCTTTTGTTCAAACACTTGCAATTTGCGGACTCTCCACCTTGCCGTTCTCTCACCTTTTTCCACCTGGGAATTGAACTGACCGAAAACCAATGTCAGAGTGTGAACTGCTCAGCCGTCCCACTTGGGTGCTGGGTGTGATCCCCGTCACTGGGGCGCTGAAGTCATGCTGGAAATCGTGTAACAGACTTTTCGGGCCCTTCATTCCGTGGATTTTCTTAACTGACTTCTTCTCACCACTGGATTAACTGCTCCAATAGCCGCCGGGCTTGTACGGAGAATGAACCCAAACGCGGCTTGTGTGTCGGTGCCTTTCCCTCTGTTGTCCCTTTTCTAGTCTTCTCTACCCGGGCGGTCTAAGACTAAAGTCCCGCTCCCTAACTATTGCATTTGATTCATTTCCGCTAAGTAATCAGTAATTCTAGAGTGCTAAGTATTCATACACACACACACGGACACATGTACATACACCTCCCTGCCCCCCCACTTTCCTTCTTGCGCTTTTGGTCGTTTCTTGGGCTTTCTCAAAGGCTTTTAGGTTGCTCTTGAGGCTCGTTCCCCTACTCCAGTCAAGGGCTAAGTATTCACTTTTTTCTACTCCTACCTTTCTCTCTTGCCCTCTTAGCGCTGCTCTTTCTGTGTTTCTTTCTTTTGTTTCTAAGGCTTTTTAGGTACCTATTCAGGTCGTTCGCACGATCGCCGCAAAGCGGCACCGTGTGTGTGTGTGT